ACACACACACACACACACACACACACACACACACACACACACATACATATTCCTATATATATCATATATATGATTCCTATAAGCTAAATATAAGTTAAAAGCATTTAAATGGTTTGTCATAAAGTTGTAAAGATCTCAGTTAAAGGTAAAGGTTCCCCTTGCACATATATGCTATTCATTCCTGACTCTAGAGGGCGGTGCTCATCTCCGTTTCAAAGCTGAAGAGCCAGTGCAAAGACATTTCCGTGGTCATGTGGCTGGCATGTCTAAATGTTGAAGGCGCACGGACCGTTGTTACCTTCCCACCAAAGGTGGTTCCTATTTTTCTACTTGCATTTTTAACATGCTTTTGAACTGCTAGGTTGGCAGAAGCTGGGACAAGTTAATGGGAGCTTACGCAGCGCTAGGAATTTGAACCACCGAACTGCCGATCTTTCTGATCGACAAGCTCAGCGTCTTACCCACTAAGCCACCACATCCCTTTTCTCAGATCAGTTAGGATCTCAAGATCTCAGTTAAGATGTGGTAAATTGTTGTAAGTACTGATCAAAATGGGATAATTTAGAAAGTAGAAAATACTAATACAAATACTACACCCCCAAAACCTTCTTTGCAGCTCAAATGCTATTTACAGGGTTCTTGTAGCTAGGACTGATGCCTTCCTAGACCGAAAATGAAACTCATCATTATGGACTAGGGTAATTTAAATGCATCAATGTGTTTAAAACGTAATATTTATTTCAGCCTTCCATTAGTTTGAGTTGTGCTCATTTACTAAAATCCTAAAACAAAAAAAATGTTTCCAGGATTAGGGTATACAGTATTTATAATATTTTGTGAAATTAGCATTAAAGATTGAATAAATTTTCTCAATCTACCAAAAAGAAACAACATACAGCACAAGAACACATTAAGTTTGTTGTAGCATGACAGCCAAACTTTATTACAAGGACTCTAAGGATTCAACCTTAATACATTTCATGTGGTGCCAGTGTTTCTTAGAAAGATAATTGCTTTTTCATCTGATTGCAGAAGTATTCTCAAAGGACCAACAGAAATTTTTCTCTTTCCTGCAAGTTCACAGGAGAATGAGGCATGCTTTAACAGAGATCATGCTGATTTTTTCCCCCTGGAGACAGGTTAAGAGGTTAACTGAAAAACAGAGTAACATATTCAAGAATTAAATTCTGGGGGTCAATAAAGATTAAGAGTCTATAAACACCATGACAAGAAAGATTTTTTTTTTAAAGACAAAGAGAGAAAGTTTTAATCACTGAATTTTCCAAAAACGATTTCAAGAAATAGAACTAAAATAAAATCAGACTGAGAAGTTTTAATTACAAGTGCCATATTCCCTGTCAACCTGTGTGTGAGAGAGGAATGAGCTAGTATTTACACAACCAGTAAGCTCAAGAGGGATTATTCCTGGTGTTTTGGTGGCTCGTTGCACTCCTTTTGCATATTGGGATTGTTTTAGATGTCACGACTAACAGTTTCTTCCAATAATTGTGGAGAGCAAATGGATGGTAAATGCTGGAACCCACAGGTCACCTGAGCAAACAAGTTGTTGCCACAATAAAGATTAACGACAGCTGTTGTGTACATAACCTCAGTTACATTTTTATCTTGGGGAATCAAGAAGGTACTTATGGAAATAAATTTGGTTCAACTGAGAGGGGCAGCTACTTGGTGGAGGGTAGGCTGCCTCATATCACAGACATCTGAAGTGGTGTAGGGTTTCCTGCTTAAGCAGGGGGTTGGACTAGAAGACCTCCAAGGTCCCTTCCAACTCTGTTATTCTATTCTACTACAGAGGCAGTCTGAGGTTACTCTGTGATCGTTCTAGTTCTTCTCCCAGTGTCGATAGGCAACCGCTGAGAGACACTCTTTTTTTTGTCTCAAAGTCTGATTGTATAAAAGTACATCACCTTCAGTTACTATTCATAAGGGATCCCCTAAAGAGCTGTAAAATCTGCCTTCAGCCAGCTGCTGTAATTGCTGTCTGTCAAAACAGAACCTGTTTTCTTACTAAACATTTCAAAGCATTGATTAGTTTGAAGGTGGGCGGGTGATGGGAAGGGTGAATGGGGGACAGAGGAAGACTGATGGCTTATGGACATTCAACTTTTATTTAGTTAAAGTACCCCAGAGAGATCCTAACACTACATTAGAGAGAGAAAAAATCTTGCCTGTTCTGGCAGAACAGGAAAGCAACAGGAAGAAATTGTTACAAATAATGTCTGGGTTCCTGACATGGGAAGCATAAAGAAGTTCACACATGAGCAAACAACACACCAAACAGAATCACTGATGTTGCTGCTCACAAATGTCAAAATGAAGGAATCCCTTTCAGCACACAGCTAGGTTTTCCCCCCATTAACTTTTCTGCAACAGTAAAATATTGTTGAGGTTCAGTGCCTTAATAATTTCATTCCATACTAGGGACCCCCAAAGCAGCACCCTAAAGTAGACTGGTTGTAGTCACTATTTATAAAAAGCATGAGGATCAATAGTTTAATGGATAAAATGAAGGACCTTTAATATCTGAGTACATAAGATGTCACTGAAAGTAAAAAATGGTTTAAAAAAGAACAGGGAGAAAGTTGATATCATGATCAAAAGTACAGTCTAGAGATAATGGCAATTACATGTTTATTATCTGTTAGTAGAATGCAACTATTATCCTTCACTTCAATCATCCGTAACAATGTTTTATCATATTCAGGTATAAACTGCATTAAACGCAAACTGTTATATTCATATAAGACTCTTCTTCCTTTTTTAAAAAGAATACCTTATTTTAATTGGACCGGAATTTGGAAAGATATACATGAAATAAACAGGAATGAGTAACTGTTAGCCATAATGTAGCCTTCAATTCATCAGTGACTTAGCAATAGCAATAGCAGTTAGACTTATATACTGCTTCACAGGGCTTTCAGCCCTCTCTAAGCGGTTTACAGAGTCAGCATATTGCCCCCAACAACAATCCGGGTCCTCATTTTACCAACCTCGGAAGGATGGAAGGCTGAGTCAACCCTGAGCCGGTGAGATTTGAACAGCCGAACTGCAGAGCTGCAGTCAGCTGAAGTAGCCTGCAGTGCTGCATTTAACCACTGCGCCACCTCGGCTCTAGGTTTTCAATACCTATTTTATGAACGCAAGCATCACTTTGTACCTATGCATCTCTAATAAGTAACAAGTTCTTAAATCCATTCTCAAATTGTGGGCAACATGAAGTGCTGTGTTGGATTGCAATAAGACAAAGGTAGAAGTTTACAAAGAAGAAAATACTTGTTAGCCCTGAAAACCTAGACCTCTCTATAGGATATTTACATTACAAAGACACTATGAAGGGACCCT